TACTTCCACGTCAGTCAAGGTAGTGGCTCTTCATCACAATAGCTTTGGGATCTCTATTCTCACAAGACTGCAGTTGTAGCTTGGTGAATTTAAATGTTTAGGACCCTTCAAAATTTTAAACCTTAAATAACTACAGAGTAACTAATGGGAATAAACACAACTTTTAGAAAACTATCAAAATATACAGCACAATATTACTAGGAAATAAAGGAAATTTTCATGTTCTCTTTCTTTGACCATAATGACTTCATGCATTTTTAATTTCCTGTATTACCTTCCTTTTATTTTCTGCCAAAATATCACTAGGGAAAAAAAAGTTTCAATCAGGCATAGTTCTCCAACAAACACACTTTAGGAGTAAGATCATTTTGTGATGTATAGAAATACTGAATCACTATATTCAACACCTATAGCTAATACAGCGTTGTAGGTCAATTATACCTACAATACTATAACATAACAAATATATATATATAAAATATGCAAATATATATAAACATATACATATAATACAGTTATACTCCAACACTACAGGATGGCTGTAATCGAGAAGTGGTTAAGTTTTTGGTGAGGATATGGAGAAAATGGAACTTCCATACGTAAGTTGGGAATACGTAATATGGGAATATAAAATGGTGCAGCCATCTGGAAATAAATCTGGCACTTCTTCCCAAGGTGAAACATAACTGCCATACAGCCCAGCAATCCCTCTACCACATACAAACCAAATAATTAAAATGCCCCCACAAAAAATAGTACATGAAGGTTCATAGCAGCAAAAAGTAGAAAACACCAGTGCCCATAAACTGATAAATGGATAAGTAAACTGTGGTTTGGCAATAAATTATTTGGCAATAAAAAGGAATAAAGTACTGATACACAAGCTCCAATATGGATGAACCTTTTTACTTTTACTAAATAAAAAAAGCCAGTCACAAAAGACCACATATTAGATGGTTCCATTTATATGCAATGTCCAGAATACACACATCCAGAGTCAGAAGATTCCTGATTGCCGATGGCTGATAGGGGTTGAGAAAAGGGCTGGTGGAGGTGGGGGCAGGAGTAGGGGAATAGAGAGTGACTGCTAATGGGTATGAGGTTTTTGGAAGATGAAAATATTCTCTATTGACTGTGGTGACTGTTGTACAATCCTGTTAATACACTAAAAAAAATTTGAATTTTACACTTAAATGGGCAAAGAGAATGTTATGTGATTTGTCTTAACATAGCTGCTTTTAAGAATTTAAAAAACTTTACAAAAGATTTAAGAATCCTTTGGATCTAAATCTCTAAAGTCTAGATTTAATATTTATACTGCCAACTCTTTGTCCCAAAGTACTTAATGGGTTGGTTTAACTCTAAAAATACAAAACCCTTGCTCAGACAAGGGTGATGCTAGAGGAGTCAGAACAATCATTAAAAAAAAAAAAAAAAAAAACCACAAATAAGTTTTTTGAATCAGGCACTCTGATGTTAACTCCATGATTTTGCTTTACATTATTTGTAGTAAGAAGCTCTAAATTCAGTCTATGTTCATCAAAAAATCTATAGAAAAGGGACTCTTACAAACAGTAAAACTCTTAAACCTTAAAACATTTCAAATACATCTCTTACTATAACCTTTTTATGAACTTAGAATATTTGTAGCTATAATTTTGAGGAAAAATGAAGTAAGATTAGGAAACAAATGATTTCATTTAGATTCTATAACAATGTTAACTATTAGATGTGGCTTTGGGGGCTAGACTGGTGGAACCGTGGACCTTATAAGTTATATCATAAATCTGTAATGCCTGTCACTTCTCATAGATTAAAAATTGTTTTCAACTCTGGTCTGGCTAATATGTTAGGACCTGTAGGTCACCATAAAACTAACTTCTCAACACCACTATTTTAAACTGACAAATACTGCATATTCCCAAAAAACTCTTCTGACAGATTTCTTGGTCCCAAGTACCATATCCCTCTGCTATGGCTAAATGACAAGTTGTTCAAAATGCACTGCCGCACTCAAGAGTTTGGAAATAATCAAGCAGATTAATCTCAACTTATTCTATGAAAAAAATGAAATTAATTCATTGAGAAATGATAGTACTAGATCAGAATCATAAATGCAGCCTGTATGTACTTAGAATCTATTAAGTACAAAAAAAATTGTCTGATAAATACTGTTTTGAAAGTGAAAATTAAAGTTAGAATGACTGGATTATTTCTGTTTGCAATGTAACATATTTAGTAATGCCCCATCTAAGATTGAAGATGGTCAATGCTTGTTTTTGTCTGCTTCTCAGGACGACCATTCTCTATCTTTAGAGATCTGGCTGGCAGGAAGTTTCTGTTATATCCTAAAGTGTACTGTGTGCATGCTCAGCCATGTCCAACTCTCTGTGACCCCATGGACTGTAGCCCACCAGGCTCCTCTATCCATGAGTTTTCCAGGCAAGAATACTGGAGTGGATTGCCATTTCCTCCTCCAGGGAATCTTCTTGACCCAAGGACTGAACCCATGTCTCTCGTGTCTCTTGCATTGGCAGGTAGATTCTTTACCACTGCGCCACCTGGGAAGCCCAGGTTATCCTGAAACCTACTTTCTGTGTGGTACAGAACTTCCTCCCAGAGCAGCTAAAATACAAACACTATCTTGATCCTAGTCTTTTCAAGCTAAATACTTTGTTCTTTCAGCTATTCTTCATGATGGTTTTACATTTTACATTTTGAGTTCTAAAAATATCCAAGTAGAGAATAATCAGCCCAGTACAACAGGAACACCACCAGTCTTAATCTAGGTATCTTGTTTCTAATCAAATACCCTACAGTGTGTAACTATTTGACAGCTACATTCTATTGACTAAGTTGGAGCTTACTACTCAGTAAGAATCTGTATTACTACTGCTAAGCCATATATGCCAGTCTCTTGTCAATGCATCCTCCATCCAAGAAAGTAAGAACTTGTTTAATAAGTTACTGAAATTAACATGAACTTGACTACAGTTTTTAACTTTTCTGATAACCATGAAGAATGAAATTTTAACAAGATTTGTCATCACATCCATATGGGGTCATGGGTCTTTCTAGGTGCTTATACCAGCCTTTTGTTATTTGGGACTCTTATCCAGAAACTCATCTATTTAATTTCAGACTTTATTTCCTATAGTCCTTTGTTCTTTTTGAAGATATAAGTGATATTTACCACTAAGCTCCTGATACTTTATTTCTCAAAGAAAGTTCAGATACTGTTTTCCTTAAGTTGCCAGTACTGAAATAATTCCATCCTGTGACATTATTTTGAACATATAATTTTAGTCTTCTCATGCATTCTGGGTTTACACTCCCTTTTACTAACATTCACTCTATTCAAGATAAATTTCTCCTACATTAAAAAATAGCCAGGGACTTCCCCGGTGGTCCATGGCTTACGCTACCAAGGCAGTGGGCCCAGGTTCCATCTCTGGTCAGGGAACTAGACCCCACATGCCACAGCCTGGTGCAACCAAATAAATAAATAGTCAAATAAATGCTAAGATACTGTGCTTTATGCTTTAATATTATACCAAACTCAGGCCTAGCCCTTGGAAAAGTCTTATTCCAAAACCAACTAACGGCCCCTAAACGTGTAAAAATTTAGTAAGCCTTAGTTCATTTAGTGTTTAAAACTCACCCTATTTCTACACTGTGCCATTCTATACAATTATTAATTTTTGGCCAAATAATAACTCCTTTATGGGCCAGAATCAGATCCCAAGTAGCTGGTTTATGAGTTCTTTTCTCTAAGAAATAAACAGTCGAAACAAATCAAGAACTCTCCTTGTTGACAGCAGATACACAGATAGCTGAAGTCCCCCACTAATGTGGTATCTTGCTTCTTTGCCACGGTACTCATAAACCCAGAGATTGGTTACTGTTAACCTACCAACTTCAATCCCTTCCTATCCCAGCCTTGATTTACCAATATTGCAAGTCCTGGCCAATCCCACATTTTAATACTCATTTAACTGTCGGTTCTATTATCATCTACTATAGTAAAAAAAAAAAAAAAGAAAAAAAAAACAGTATGATGGCCCATTTGAAATAAGCCATGTTGGCAACTTAGAGCCATAAGAAGAATCAGAAAAGATAAAAGGGATCCACTTTCAAGTCCTTTCCAGGTATCCTGGAAGTATGTGTCAACATCAATGTCTTTTATACTATTTTTGTAAAAAAAATCACAACCGTTTTAGAATCTTGAACTCACACTTGATAAAATATTTGGTTGCGTATTTTCTACACATATGAAGACGTCACTTGAGTGAAGACTTATAAGTTTATGTAGTGTTGAATAAATACTAAATCTTTCACCATAGTAAATTTTATTGTAGGATTTTAAAAATAGGTAAGGAAGATGATAATTCAGTGTTAAGAGGCCCTTAGGCCTCTAGGGCCTCTCAATACGGTTTTCACATGAACATTTAAAAATGTTTGGTTGGGAGACGGAGATTGGGAAGTAATTGCTGCTGATATAGTTTTTTGGAGGGAAAATAAAAGTATTCTAAGATTAGTTTGCAATAATGCTCAATTCTGTGACTATATTAAAGACAGTGAATTGTACCCTTTATATGTATAAGTTTTATGTGAATTAACTCAGCAATAGCTTTCAGAAAATACTTCAACTCCATTCTAAAGACTATTACATTCCATGTTATTATATATTTTCTAAAATCTTCTTAAAATGCATAGCAAAAGCCCTAACATACCGAGGACCAGAGAGAGAAACCTTACATATTAAATTAAGCCAGGTATTAGGATACCAAAAACAAACTACTTATGAGCCAAATGCTGAATGTTAAGGAGCTCTTATTATATTATAACCACTAAACAGAAACAAAACAAATGGTACTAGACCAAACATGACTCCTAGATGATCTCTTCAGAAAGACTTATTTGAAAACAATCTTGAAATGGGAGATTTTGCTTCTGCAAACAAAAACATGAATGAAGTCCTCAATATCATGAGCACTTACTCATCATACTCGATATGATAAATAACGTCTTCATCAGCAGCAACAGAATCTGAATTAGATGTAGAGGGTACATTGTCCAATTTTTTTGTGTTCTCTTTGGAATTATGATTTACATTTCCATTAGTCCTTTTACAAGAACTGCCATTCTTCAGTGGAGTTTTGCCACGTGAGTGTCCATCAGAAGCTCTAGTAACACTATGTATACGTGCTTCAAACCAAGCACCAAGGGCGACATCTCTGGCATCCACCAATTCATTTACCTAAAAAAGTTTAAAATCAGTTAATGAAGCGTAACTTCATCTATTGCTTCAAAAACCTTAATATAACTCAAGTTATTTTGAGAGTTATCACGGTTAATATTTGCAGATACAAAAGTTTAAAGTAATTTCAAAGATTAGAACAAAACTATTCTTTTGGATTGTACTGTCAAATCTGTTATTTACTAATATGAAAATTAACTTTCCTCCCAATATCCTTCAGTGAAATAGGTAGTTTCTTTAACTATTCCTTATCCTTATCTATATTAGACTTTTAAAATAGAATTCTTGTGTACCCAAGAGTCATCCTGGCATGTTATTAAGAATGTCACTGACAAAAAGCCAGAACTTTAGATTATTGTGACTGTGAAACTAATTTGTTCCATTAATTTCTTCAGAATCCTTCAGATAGCTTACAGTCAGACCAACCGGAAAACAGTGTATTAAGCAAAAAATAAAAGAGGGACTTGTGCACATGTACAAAGGAAAGAATTTAATGAACCTACCTATACAAAATGGGGTTAAGTTTCACCAACAGTAATTCACTAGCAAATGCATTATTTACTACCTCAAAGGACAAATATAAAGAGAACAGAGCAGTAAAGATGCAAAAGATAATGTAGTCAACTCTAGTGGATGATTCATAACTAAACCATACAATCTAACAAAAGGTATAAAACATGGTGTCAGAAAACAGGTACACCAGAGAAAATTTAGATTTACCTAAAGAAGCTAGTTTTTAAAAAAATTATGTCATCCAAAAAAAAAAAATTATGTCATCAAGAAAGTTAAAGGAATTGGTCTAAAGGTTAAGGCCCTTTCAGGAGCAATAATCAAGAGAAGTTCCTTCAACTTCAAGTCTTTAAAAACAAAAAAATAACAAGATCATCACCTAATCAAGCTAGCTTTTTCTGAGAGTCTAAGATCACTTTAAGGTATCATATAGGGTGGGGTGGGGTTGAGTATATAGTAAAAGTTAATACCTATATACTAGATATTATGCAAGGCTACTTCAGTTAGGTTTAACAATCTTAATAAATCATATTTTACAGGATAAGGAAACAAAAGCTCGGACAAGTTAACCTGCTCCAAATGGAAGTTAATAAAATGCAAAACTAGGATCTGAAGACACCTTAACTTTAAAGCTTATGTTCTTGCTACTGCACATTGCTATACATTATGTAAGGATATAACTACTATAGTGATTCCATCTATGGATCTCAGCAAAGTTAACTGAAAACCTTCTGGGAAGGACGGACGATTCTAGATGCCATTAAGGATATTTGCAATTTATGGGAAGAGGCCAATCTATCAACATTAACAGGATTTAGAAAAAGTTGATTCCAACCCTTACGGATGAACTTGGAGGAGTTCAGCACTTCAGTAGAGGAAGTAACTGCAGATGTGATGGAAATAGCAAGAGAACTAGAATTAGAAATGGATCCTGAGGATGTGGGTGAACTGCTATAATCCCACAGTGAAGCAAATAGATAAGGGGCTGCTCTTTATTAATGAACAAAGAAAGTGGTGTCTTGAGATGGAATCTATTCCTGGTGAAGATGTGGTGAACACTGTTGAAATGACAAATGATTTAGAATAATATAAAACTTAGTTGATAAAGCAGTGGCAGGGTTTGAGGGGGTTAACTCCAATTTTCAAAGAAGTGGGTAAAATGCTATTCAAAGCCTTGCATGCTACAGAAAACTTGTTTATGAGAGGAAGAGTCAATCAATGTGGCCAAACTTTATTGCTGTCTTATTTAAGAAACTGCCACAGCCATGACCACCTTAATCAGTCAGCAGCCATTAACATGGACACAAGACCCTCTACCTGCAAAAAGATCATGATTTACTGAAGGCTCAGATGATGGCTTTTTTTTTTTAAGAAATAAAGCATTTTTACATTAAGGTATGAACATTTTTTTAAAGAAATTATGCTATTGTACACTTAACAGACTACAGAATAGTGTAAATGTAATTTTCTTATGTACTGGAAAACCAAAAACTTGTGTTACTTGCTTTAGTGAGGTATTCTCTTTTTTGCAGTCATTTGGAACCAAACTCCTACTATCTTTGAGATATACAGATAGCCACATTTAGAAAAGTCTTTCATGTTGAAGTATTTGATTAAAAAAAAACACCCCAAACAAAAGCTCCACAAATGAGAGGAAAGGAAAAATTATTAAAAAATAAAATAGCACCAACAGCAAATACTTGAGGATTTACCATAGTGAGCTACAGTTTTGTATATTCTGTGGAAAACATACAAGCTCTGCACATAAACCTAGGTTTAAGTCCTTGCTTATCACCTACTAAATGTAATGTTGAACAAATTCCTTAACCTGTTCCAGCCTCAGCTTCTTTTACAAAGTAACATACTTTGCAGTGTATTGAGATTAGGTGACAATTTGTATAATGTGCTAACTTAGCAACCATACAGTAGCAACAAATGAAAAAACTCTCCTTCCACTAATTATCAATATATGTTCAAAGTTAAGACTTATTAAAGCTCATAGTTCAGTCTTATTATACCATGCTTAGGAAATAATTAGCCATTCAATGCTATATACATTATCTCCTTTAAAAATTACAATACAAAGTCATTCTTATTTCCTAATTAGGTTTAGTAGTGAAAAACACTTGCCCTCAGGAGATATACAGCTAGAAGTGAAGTGAAGTGAAGTGAAGTGAAGTTGCTTCAGTCATGTCCAACTCTTTGCGACCCCATGGACTACAGCCTGCCACGCTCCTCTGTCCATGGGATTTTCCAGGCAAGAATCCTGGAGTGGGTTACCATTTCCTTCTCTAATACAGTTAGGAGTGGGAGCTAACAAAGGTTTCTCTAACTCTGAACAGGATTCCTCTTTACACCATGTTTCTTCAGAGTTACAAATCAAAACACAATATGGTTCTATTTACATAAAGTTCAGATGGAGAAAAATTAGGGATGGAGACAGGTTAAAAGCTATTATCAGGTTGTTTAATGGTAATAATAGGATAAAGTTAATAAAAAGCAAAGAAATGATTACCATAGAAGTTTGGGTAGTAGTGGTAACTAGGGAGGGGGGAGTTTAACCAAGAGAGGGCACAGGAGAAGTTCCTGGGGTACTATTATTCTATTGCTCAATTTGAGTGGTATTTATGAACAATGACTTTATAATAGGTTGTTAAGTTTTACTTGTATTTTTATTGTCTATTACATTTCATGACCAAAAAGATTTTAAAAAGCAGCATAGTACTTTAGACAAAAGACAGGAAATACTAAGAAATCCATGATGTTTACTTAGTAATTACCGATAATTTTCCTTTTCCTTTATTTGCTAAAATGAGCATAGACACATAAAAAAGTTTAACAGTGCCACACACTTAGGTAAACCCCAAAAGCTTACTATCAGCATGCTAAACAGTCATTATTTAAGCCATAATGAGTCATTTCAACAGCGAGACCTGATGTGAGTCATACGAAGCTTCCACAAAAACCAGAACACCAATTTAGGCATCAGAAGTCCACCTGGTTTCAGAAAATAAACGACTTCCTAGAGTCAGTAATTCAATGTGATGTACAATGGGAATAAAAGGACCCCCGCCCTCTGCATTACTTTCCAAAGGCTCTTCAAACACGATAGTGATATCTAGTTTCTTACTACACATGAAAAGATAGCTACAACTGACCAAATACTGCTCAAAGTTACCAAATAAGGCAAAACAAGACTGACATTGGATAATAACTTCAAATTAAAATTGCATCTTAAGGTTTAAATGTTATAGTCTGTTTTATGTATGCTTACCTGAAAATATTTAATATACTTTTTGTGCCTGCTAATCGTGAGGTCCAAAAATATTTTTAGGCAAAAGGGAAAGCCCCTAAATCTGTCTGCTCATCCATAAAGCAAAATCTTTATAAACCAAAAATTACATAGTTAAGAATTCATGAAAAGAGAAAAAAAAAATTCCTAAATTTTAAATAATTCAGACACAACAATGAAATTTTGATATACTTACTATTCAGAGACTTGCTCTAAGGAAACAGACAAAATTCAAAGCAAACTTAAAATAAATCAAAAGTAGCAGCCTCTAAGCATTTTCAGGCTAGCCCAAAAAGAAGTTAAGATCTAGTATAATTCCATGAATTCCATGCAACGGCAATATCATCTGTTTACCCATCATTTCTAGTATCTAGTACAAATACATACTAAATGTCTTCATATTCAACGACTAAATTATCCAGAAATAATTCCTTCTATATGAAAGTCACTAGTCAAAATTTCAAATACCTATAATAATTACTGAGCTTCATCCAAAATACCAAGTAAATCTGTACTGGCACTCTTTAAGTAACAAGGAAGGTTAAATGTGGCTTTGACTAAACATATTACTTCACAAATAACTAGCCTTTGAGAGTTTAAGTGCCTGATCCCAGGTGTATTTCTAAATGAGGAAAGGGAGACAATGTACTTACTTGCCAAATTTGTCCAACTCAGAAGATGGCCCAGTTGAAATCTGAAACCAAGTCTGATGAAAGTTGAAAGCTCAAGTCCTTAACATCTATGCTATGTACTAATATGAAATATAAGAGATGTTTAAAAAAAAAAAAAACAAGTACTTGGAGTAGTTGACAGCAAAGTGCTAACACTGAAAATAAAACACAAAGATCTGCTAAGAGAAGTAGTTTCTCATGATGCTCTTCTAAATTAGATTGGAGGAAGGCACACAGTTGGGTATTGAGAAGTGTGCTAAACAGAGAATTTAAATTGACCATAACAGTTCAACTTTGATTAATCTCAGACCTGCAGATATATAAGCTGGTCCTCCTATGAAAACACACTTATACTTACATGGCCCAAAACAAACCAGGTCAAACATAGCAGCTTCTAAACTGTTACATTACTTTACAAAAAGTTAAAATGTAATAATGTAAGCATAATATATACCAAGATGGTTACAGAAATATTTATAGATATGTGGATATACAGAAGTTATTACACATACACACATGTACTTCCTTGCTGTCAGCTGAGGGCCCTAAAAATAAGGACATGCCAGAAGCAAGGAGCATATCTAAAGCCTAGGTATTAGCTTCCAATATCATTCCCCAATTAAAGGAACTAAGGCGCCTTAGAGAAATGGTTGACTGCAGGACTGGGGCAGAAAACACACAAGATGAGCCCGGAGCACCTTCTAGTGCCAGAAAGAAAGGTTTTAACAAAACAAAAATCAAAGAAACCCCAAATGGGGACATATTGAAAGGACACAGGAGAAAAAATATACATACTAATGTAAATATATGACTGAAAAAAATGAAGAAGAGACAAGTCTCCCACATAAAAGAATTCCTAATAACTTTTGTAGATAATCGACCTTAACTATGGAGAGTCTTAACTCTCCATTCCTTAACATCTTACTAAACACAGATGCAGAATATGTTTTTTGTTACCTGAACGGTTACTGACCACAGAAGGGATGTTTCAATATTCACTTGCATAACAAATTGCCAGTCACAGGCCTTAGTTGCTGCAAAAATCCCCTAGTCAGTAATGTGTTAAGAGTTAGCTACATATAGTGACTTAATCTCAAAGAATACAGTATGCAAAAGGGGATGGGAGAGAGTAACTTGACAGTGAAGAAACGTGACAAATACTATCTTAGCCAGATGATTAAGGTTCACAATGGTAAGTTACTATTCATTTAAAACTTAAATAATGACAAAATAGAATGTCAACGGTATAGTGCCCTAGACACGTCATTGAAAATAGCACTTTACCTCTGTGTTCTTCCTCCCCAAGTATTTAAATTCAGTCTAAAGATGAAGAAAACATATTCTAATGTTGCATTTTACAACTACCTGACCAATACACCTCAAAACTGTCAAAGTCATCAAAACAAAAGTCTGAGAAACTGCCACAGCCAAGAGGAGCCTTAAGGAGACTATTGTTTAGTATAAAACTAATGTAAATGTAATGTGGTAACCTAGATGGTATTCTGGAACATAAAAGACACTAAATAAATGCTAAGGAGATATAGTTCATTAATTGTAACAAATGTGCCACACTAATGTAAGATGTTAACAGGGCAAACTGGGTGTGGGATATATGGGAACTCTGCAGTATCTTCCCTACTATGCTGTAAATCTAAAACTGTTCTAAAATAACAACTTTATTCTTAAAATAATGTGAAAAATCATCAAGTAGAAAGTTTTGGTAACTGAAAGAGGGATGAAACCAATAGTGAAATAGACAATTTGGCAAGTGGGTTTTCAATATTAATTCGATCTGAACTGTGAGCATTATATAAGGCACTAATTTATATGCTTTGTATATATCATGTAAGTTTATTCCCAGACTTTTGCTTTGTTACTATAATTTTTTTTCTTTTATTAAATGACCATAGTAAGGAAAGCCATTGATATTTAAACAGCCACTTTGCTGATGGCTCATAATGCTCTTATGTATTTTCTCAGCTTACCAGGTAATTCCTAAGTATTGACTGCCTTCTCCGAGATTTACAATATTTTCTTTTTTGCTTATCTGTATTATCTAGAACTTCTAGAAAGATGTTAAACAATAGCATTAACAGGCTTCTTTGTCTGGTTCTGTCTTTAATGGGAATGCTTGTGGCTTTTCCCCACCATTAAGCATAATGCTGGATATGGTTTAAAATATTCATCTATTCCATCTGTTCCTCTTAGCAAGGATTTTTTTTTAATCAGAAATAAATTCAAATTTTTATTTAGATGCAGAAAACAGATTAGATCATTTGTTTTCTTTGGTTATATTAATATGATGAATTATATTAAGATGTTTCCTAACAATAAACTATCCCACTTCCTGACAAACCACACTTGGTCAATGTATGTTCCTCTAATATATAGTTATTATTTTATTTGCAAACTGTAACTTAGATTTTACATCAATATGTAGTGATACTAACGTGCTTTTATAATCATGTTTTCAGTATCAGTGTTATACTAAATTTATAGAACAAATGAAAGCTTTCCTTTTTTAAAATCTTGTGGCTCAATTTAGATATCATTAGTATTCTTTATGGGTTTAAAGCAATTCAGTGTAGTGTAGCCAGGCCAGGTGCTTTGATACACCTCTTCACCAGTTTTGATTCTTTCTGTTTTTATGGATCTGTTTGCATTTTTTTCACAGATCTCAATTTGCATTTCTTAAGTAATTCATTTTGTCTACCAATCTTTAATTTTTGGTCTTGAAAAAGCTCTGAAAAATTAAGTTTGGGTCCCAGTTTACCTCAACCATTAATAATTATGAAAAAATATAAGGATAAAGATGAGGCAAAAGTGTCAGTTATTTCTACAAAATTTATTAGAATTTGAAGAAGTTACTAGATAACAAAGGTCAATAAATCAATCACATTGCTATATAGCAAACAAATTTTAGAAGGTAACCATTCATAATAGCATCAAAAACAAAGCTACTAGAAATAAATCAAAGGTATATAAAGAAGAAAGTAATTGAGAAAGATGTCAAAAATCTAAATTAATGGAGACATCTATCATTTCAATAATGAAGGACTCAACATTGTAAAGACGTCAATTCCTCAAGCTGGTCTACAGATATGGTTTCCACTGAAATTCCATGAGTACTTTTATTTCTAGGGAAAAATTCCTGAAGAAATTCTTGAACGTGTGTACCAAGATACACATAGTTGGCTCAAAACAGCACTGTTTATAACAGCTAAAATTGGAAACTACCCAAATATCTATTCATCATGGGTTAAGATAAGTGTATTATGGCATGTTAATAAAATGGAATAATACAGTGAAAAAATATAGCCATATGTGAAAATTTTCAAATATAGGCAAAACAAAATGTTGTTTAGAGATACATAACTAGTAACACTAAAGAAAAATGAAACGATCATGGACGTCAGAACAAGTAGTTTACTTCTGAGCGGGAGAGAGTGCGATGTACTATGGTAGGGGCATACAAGAGGCTTCAGAAAGCAACTACTTAACCTTGGTGGAATTACACAGGTGTTTGCTTTTATGCTCTGAACCACTGAATATAGTCTGTCTACACAACTTTCACTGTTTTTTCAATATTACTTTTAAAAGTTAAAACATTAACAACCCCAATCTCTACTTTCAAATGGCAATCAATGTTTACTTATTCACAACATCCTGAAGAGAAGACATCTATATTCTCACAATTAACAAGAAGTCTGAGGAAGACAACATACCTTATATAGTCCAATGCCAGGATCAATAAGAAAATCGCGAGTTGATGTAGATGGCTGACTGGAAGGTCCCCCCCTTGGGGTTTTCTTTACTTTAGGTGGACTATTAGAACAGGGTTTGGCCTGTACATCAGTCTGTTTTGATGTGCTAGGAAGGTCAGGGTCTGGGCGAACTAGTAGCTGAATTATATCATTAAGTCCAACATCATAGTCAAATAAAGTATATCCATTTTCCAACTGGAAAAAAAAAAGGACAGAAAAAGATTAAAATGCTTCTCTCAAAACTCCATCTTTTTACATCCTTAGTTACCCAAATGCCCTAGTCAAATTATTAATATAAAATTCCCAGCATTACAATTTAGTGATCTTGAAGCCATTCCTATGGCCTCTGATGTCAGCATCTTCTCAGTTTGTCTGTGTGTGCAGTCAGTCATGTCCGACTCTTTGCAACCCCATGGACCTGCCAGGTCCCTTTGTCCATGTTATTTTCCAGGCAAGAATACTAGACTGGATTGCCATTTCCTATTCCAGGGGATCTTCCCAACCCAGGGATTGAACCCGCATCTCCTGTGTCTCCTGCACTGGGAGGCAAATTCTTTACCACTGCGCCACCTGGGAAGCATCTTCTCAGAGCCTCAATAAACTCTTAGGAATCATTCTATGTCAACTATAGGGAAAACTGACAGCCACTGAAATCAAATATCATCACTGCTGCTGTGATCTCATCATCTAAACAGAAAAACTCATCTTCAACAAGTTTTATGTATTTTAATGAATCCACTACAAGAAACAAAAGGTGAATTTTCAAAGTGAATTGTTTTATAACGTGGTGTTCATAAAGACATTTAGTTAACCATTTTATCTTTCTGAAGCAGTAACTTTAAAAACCAAGTAGAAAAAAATTCAAGCAGGAATGATTACAATGCTTTCTCATGCTACTCCAACCTGCTCAAAGTTTTCTGTAAAGGTGATCAAGTTGAATTATGCAAGGTATTCCAGGATGACTAGTGAATAAATTATTTTGTAACTTATCCATATTTTGGCAAGGCTTCTATAAAGGACTAAACTGCATCCACCATTCCCACCCTAACTCCTCCCAAACATGTAGAAGTTCTAATCCCAAGTAACTCAGAATGCGAACATATTTATCTGGAAATAGGATCTTAACAGCGGGTCATCAAGTTAAAACTAGATAAGGGTGGACTCTAATCCATTATGATTAGTGTCCTTATAAGAAGTTGAAACTTGGACAGACAAACATGGGGAGAAAACAGTAACATGACTGGAATGATGTATCTACAAGCCAAGAACACCAAGGATTGCTATCAAAACATCAAGAAGCTGTTTGAAGGAAGCAAGCAAGGATTCTCCCCTAGAGTACAGCATGACCCTGCTGACAAGTTGACTTTGGGTTTACAGCTAACAGAACTGCGGGACAAAATTTGCCCTCCTAAGCCACCTAGGGTTTGATACTTTGTTATGGAAGCCCTAGGAAACTAAGTCTCCATTTTGTTTCTTTATACAATTCAGTTGGCCATTTCACTAAACTCCTTAAAGCTCAGAACTATCATTTCCCAGGAAACACAACCAATTTAACCCCTAGTCATTTTTCCATTTGTATGTAATATCTGTCACCATCCACAGCTCTAACACAATAAGGCCATATGTGAGAAGTCAACCAAAGAAACCAAAATAAAAATCTGTCTTTGAATGACAAACTTACTAGTGTATTAAATAGGTACCTTTAATTCAAGCAATCCAAAACATACTTAGAACAATCCAACACATTACAGGACTGCAAAGAGATCAAATCAGTCAATCCTAAAGGAAATTAGTCCTGAATATTCATTGCAAGGACTGATGCTGAAGCAGACACTTCAATACTTTGGCCACCTGATGCAAAGAACCGACGTACTGGAAAGACCCGACGTACTGGAAAGACCCTGATGCTGGGAAAGACTGAAGGCAGGAGGAGAAGGGGACGACAGAAGATGAGATGGTTGGATGGGAGATGGTTGCATGGCATCACCGACTCAATGGACGTTAAGTTTTAGCAGACTCTGAGAGTTGGTGACAGACAGGGAAGCCTGGTGTGCAGTGTGCATGGGCTCTCAAAGAGTCGGACACGACTAAGTGACTGAACTGAACACATCACAGGTGTTCACAACTGTTAAACAGAACAAGGGATTGAGAAATTAAAATTTCCCAGTAGTGGAATTAAATGGTACATTATCTAACAGACTAGCTAACACTCTTCTTTCAGATAAGTCTAAGGAGTCTCCCAAGTCAGTAAGCAGATAGGCCCTTATCAGGATAGGATGTTAACATGGCTTATCTAATTAGAAAAACAAGAACTCTTAATCCTCAACTACTGGAAAACCTCAATAAGCAAAAAACTACACGTTCACACCTTCATTTTGCCTGTCTCCAACAGCATCCCCACCTCATCAACCCCCCCCCCCCCACACACACACAACTAACAGCACAGAACATGAAAATTAACTGGTAGGGCATTCCCCAAAATGAAGATACCTGTACGAAACCATATAATAGAAATCAGGCCCACAGTAACCTGTAACCACTTTTCTTCAATCAGTTATGCTTGCTAGGATAGCCACTTTTACCCAGATGATGAGTCCTTTCCTAATTCATAGGCACTCTCAGAAGTTTTCCTGAAATAGTGATTATCCATCCACTGCATAGCAAGTTCCACAGAGTTTTGCTATTGTGCAGAGTTGTGAAGACTGTTGGAATGATTTGTTATTTTAAAAGCACCAAGAATTCCCTGGTGGTCTGGTGGTTAGGACTCTACCGACAAGGGCAGTTCTCTCCCTGGTTGGGGAACTAAGATTCCGAAAGTGAAAGTCATTTGGCCATGTCTGATTCTTCAGCACTCCACGGACTGTAGCCCACTAGGCTCCTCTGTCCATGGGATTCTTCAGGCAAGAATATTGGAGTGGGTAGCCATTCCCTTCTCCAGGAGCCATGTAGCCAAATGAATAATAAAACTACTAAAGTCCTCCCAAATTTAACAAAAGTATAGACTGAAAATTACCTGCACTTAAATTATGTTGAGTAGGGGAGAAACAGATTGGTAATTTGAAATTTACACGTTGGAGTTTCAGGCATTTAAATAATGAATGTCTCATAGCAGAAAATGTTTGAGAACTGCCATTCCAGAAGATGTGGCTGAAGAACTTATATTAGAGAGGCGGGGATGGTCCTAGAATTTTTTTCTTTGAATTGGGTTGAAGTCAAGAAATTATAGGTAACAGTAAGAATTACAACTGTGATGCAAGGGAAAACTAGGAGGCAAACACCAAATGGCAGTGGCTCAGAAGGCAGAGAAGTCATTCCCAAGAGGCTACTGATGAGGGATGCAGGTGGAGACCATTACTAACTTTCATCCATCTTTCACAGCATATATACTACAAACACACACACACACTCCTTCAAGTAGGCAAACACTTTTACTTTGTACTGCATGTGAAAACGGTACAGGGGCAAAAGGAAACCGTCTTTCTTCTGGTTCACGCTTCATATCTACAACCTACTCTAGGAGTTCCTACAGTGGTGTAGGGAAGAGAAGAGGGAAGAGAATCCTTTCAGAGTAGGAAAAGCTCTGGATTCTCAAAGATTCAGAGATCCACCAACACAACTCTTTCTTAAACAAATCCCCAGGGAGCAAACTCAACCTCTCAAAGAATATCTAAATGAGGTTACCCTACTTTAACTGGAACTTACAGCCCTGGATTGCTGCTCTCTCTCCATTTTGACTCTCAAAAGTAGAGTCAATCACACAATTACAGTGCTGCTCAAGCTTCATTTGCATACCAACCACCTGGGGACCTTGTTAAAATACAGATTCTAGTTCAGTGCGGCTGGTCAGGTGAAGCTAATGCTGCTGGTCCTGCTGATCCAGGACCATACTATGAATAGTAAGAAACTAGTATGAGGCTAAGTTCCTACAAAATGCATTTTCAAACTCTGGTGTTCATCAGTATTTCCCATGGGGTCTTGTTAAATTCAACCACTTGTAATTTTAGGGTGAGGTGAGCATCTATAACAAATATCCACCAAGTGATTTTGATGTTTATCAGAGATTAAAAGCAGGAGACCTAACATACAAAGATGGAAGGGGAGGTAATTTACATCATGGACACTCTAAGTGTTTTATTTATGACATTTTTCACTATGTGGCAGTAAGGTATCTTGAGGAAGGAGTGTGTTTTCCTAATAAGCACAAAACTCTTTCTCAAAGATTTAGAGATTCACCAATATAACTCTTCCTTAAAAAAATTCCGACCTCCAGGGTGCAAATTCAGCTTCTCAGAGAAGAATATCCAAATGAGGTTACCCTACTTTACCTGGAATTTACAGCCTTGCTCTCTCTCCATTTTGACTCTCAAAGGTAGCATCGATCTATTTTGCCCTCTCTCATTTTGACTCTCAAAAGAGCATTTTACAGGATAAGGGCAGGTCTGTGACACCAATCCAATAGAAGCCTACTACAGACACACTATCCTGTCCAAGGACTGTAGACTGTATTTCCAAAGGAGAATAGAGATAATAATCACTCCCATGGCTACTGGTCCGCTTGTAAACAAACACCTGGAGCACTCTCTCTCTTCTGTCTCCAACTAAGTAGTAACCCATGGTCCATTCCTAATTCCTACTTGTCTACGGTTATAGAGACATCAAAGCAGAGAGTTATCAACTGTCCTGGGCTAAGAGGTACAGAAGGTTGTTATCCTCAACAGTTTTCCCATGAGCCTGGAATAGCTTCGTGGTGTCCTGAAAATGTACTCTGTTGTCTTGAATTTATCACAATCCCTTCCTTTCCCTCAAGACAGCCAGGTGCACATTTTCTTTTTATCATATTTTTATTATTAGATGGTAAGAGGTGTTGCCTGGGAATACATTTTCATGCTTCATTTCTATCTCTGGTGAAGTTAAAAGTATCCCGGGAATTTATGTACTATTGTCCCTAGCTAGAAAATAAAATTCAATAGACTTGATTACATGCTTTTCACTTTTGATCAAAAGATAAAAAAGGTATTAGTCACAGGAGGCACAGTGATATAAAGCTGCATAGCGTTTAATACACATACATTTATTTTTAAAGCCAAGTTTAAACTAAATCGAACAATTGTTTTTGTAAGTCAAACACTAGAAGATCAGTATAAAACTAACTACTATCAAAGATGCCATCTCTTTCTGTTGTTGTTTAGTCGCTATGTCGTGTCCCATTCTTTGTGACCCAATGGACTGCCAGCCTCCTCTGTCCATGGGATTTCCCAGGCAAGAATAGTGGAGTGGGTTGCCATTTCCTCCTCCAGGGGATCTTCCCCACCCAGGATCAAACCGTGTCCCCTGCATTCCCAGGCACCTGGGAAGCCCATGATATTTCTTACTTAAAACAATCCGTGGCTCTTTCTCTCTCGGAGTGTAATCTCATTACTCTAAAATTTCTGGACAGTTTCAAACGGTAAGCCTATGAAGGGGAGAAAAATATTCCTTTCAAACACTAAGCTGTACGGAAAAAAGGCTACTTCTACCAAATCAAAGAGAGTTACACTTATTTCAAACAACAGGATTGGAGCCAAACTATGATCAGCTGGAGGAAGCCAACTTCTTTAGTTGATTAACATTTTTTAAAAAAGAAAAAGATAAAGATTGAACGGGTCTGAGTCTCTTGATACAGACCACGTGAGTAGGAAAAATCTTCAATGGGCCAGACCAAGGCCATACGGTTCAACTACCTGCGACGCCCACAGGCAACCTCACCGCCAAAAAACACTTTCAGCCTTCAAGTGTGTACCGCTGGCTAGGCTCCAATTACTGTATCAAAAGCCTGAGTGAGGGTTCTATTAGAAGGTGAAGGATAAGAGCAAAACAAATCTTTTGTAGCAGTACTCTTCGAACAACCCCCTTGGCCCAAACTGGGCGGTTTAAGCCTGGTCCCGGGTTACACCAACAGCTTCTTCAGCAGGTCTCTAATCTGCCCTACGACAGATTCGATTCTAGGAAAGGAGGTGGGTGGGGAAGCAGAAGTTCTGGAAACCCTTCGAATCTTCAGTGTATACAAATCCCTTCCACAGTGAGGAGGCGGGCTTAGAATCTTGTGCCCCATAAGCAGCAATATGTAAGTTTCCCCTCCCACTTGGGAGTCGGCAGCGCGGCTGAGGTACGGAAGCGATAAGAGCCGTTAGCCGGGTCAGCACAGCCGGGAGCCGGAGCCTCCTGCCTCCCCACCCGCACTTCGGCATGGCCGCCAGAGCCCGCTGCCCTCCCCGCCCTCCAGGGGCCACGGACCCCACCAAGCGCGGGAAAGGAGGGACCCCAGGCACTCTGGCGGGCTGTGCCTGCGGCTGCTGACCGGCTTGGCAAGGGCGGTAGGTCTCGGCGCTCGGGGCGCCCCCGCCTCCGACCCCGCCGAGCGCACCTGCAACTCGAGTGGCCGGGCCCCCGCTGCACCCCACAGGAGGGCCCAGGGCCGCACTCTGAGCCTCACGGGCTGCCCATCCGAAGTGGAGCCGGATGCGCTCTGTGCGCGCGGTACACCAAGCCCCTCCGGCCCGCCCAGCCCATGCATCCTGCTGCCCTTGCTGGGGCTTCCAGAGAAGTGCGTTGGGCGCGCCTTACCTGCTTGCCCCGGTAGAAGAGGCGCTGGCACTCGGGCCGTACGTCGAACAGCGCCCACACCCGCTCGCGCAGTTCCTCAATTGTGGCTTTCCGAGACACGTCCTCAATGGTGCGCGTCTGCGAGCCGTCGATGGTGCGAACCTGGATCCACATCTCGGCGCCGGGAGAAGGGGCCGGCTCCGCTTTGTCTCCCCCTGCGCTCCGGGCGCCGCGCCCCGCCCGGCCCGCGCCGCTTCCCCGGCTCTGGCTCTCAGCGGCTGGCCGGCGAGCGCGCGCACAAGGGAGGAAGACTGACCAGGCGCCGGGCCCGACAGGCGGCGGTGAATCCTAGACCGTGCGCCCACCTAACAGAGCTGGAGAGGGAACGAAACCGAAACCAGTCGGAAGCTCGGTTGCTATTGCAGCCCCCGCCTCACAAATAGGAAGCAGCCTTGTCTGCGCTGCGCGGAGTGTTTACTTATAGAGCTCTAGCTCCCACATGGAGGTCACGGCGCCAACCCGGATCTCGCGAGATCTACGCCGGGCTCCGCCTTAAAGAGGTAGCGACTAGGGAAGAGGCTGTAGACCAGAGGGAACTAAAATGGGAGGGTGCAGGGAGGACGGGACAGAGGGGCGGGACCGCCGAGAGCCGTTACTTGCGCCTCCGCCTGCACCTGGGCCTTGGACACGCCCTCTAGCCTTCGGGTGTCTGGCGGTTACAAGGCCGCCCACACGGGTTCCCGCTTTGGTCCAGGTTTCGCTACCTAGGGCGCCAGCGACTCCTCAGGCTTAGCGGATTCGGTTCTGTGGTCTAAAAAACGCACCAAAGATAAGAAATTCTGACGTGTACTTGTGTGATCAAGAAAAAGGGGAGTGCGTGCGGGTGCAGCCTAAATTTGTGAGAAAAAACGTCAGGAAATGAACCCGCTCTTTGCCAGACCCTGTCAGCCACGCGGCCTGGCTGGGCCGGCCACCCAAGAAAGACCCTGGGGAACCTTCTGCTTCGCGAAGTCGTTTCCCGCCAGGCCCGAATGCTGCCTTCGCGCGGAAACCCGCATCCTGGGGTTTCCCGCCGCTGAGCTGAGGTGGCGGCCCTAGGCGGGCAGGCTAAGGGCCTGCTGGGATCGTCCTTTTCGGGCCCGCTGCTCTCGCAACCGTACCTCAGACCTCGGAAGTGTCGGTGACGCCGCCCGGAGGGCCCTTTGTGGTTACCGATTGTGGACCTGAGTTAGCGAGCATTTGGCCCAACAGGGGAGGGACAGAAAAAAATGGAATACCTATACAGACTTGGTCTCTGCTCTTGTTGGAAATTTTACATTCGCTGTATCTTCTAGATATAATTCATGTTGTCTCCTCCTAAGTAAAGCAAATACTGAGTATTCATTACATGTGTAACTATTAAGCACGCTTATAACTTGTCTCAATAAGGGATAGCTGTTTGCTATTATAGGATATTCTATGCCATTGTGGAAGCATATTAAGACATTTTTTCCCCTAATTCTCTGCTTACAAAGCATTTACAATCCAATTGAGATAAGATTTAGAAAGCATGAAAATATTAAAGAATAATTTAGTACTAAATAGTCTGCTTTTGATTAAAGCAACGATTAGACATGAGAGACTAGAGTTAGAGATGAGGGACTAGAATAATCTGTGAGCTTAAAGACAGCGGTACAACTTGACCTGAGTTAAATGGTATACTATAAGGAAGATGGTATTTAAATGATCAGTTCAAAGATTGAGATAGGCCTGAATTGTAAACTCAGTTTTGCTCTTTACTTAAAATATGATCTTGGAGAGACTGTTTACTTCAGTTTCTTCAATGCAAAATGGTGCTTGTGATGTCTAAAGAGTGTAGAGAGTTCAGCATAGTGCCTATTCCAGCTGGCACACAATCAGTTATTTTTGTGCTCTTATTATGGAGAAGATTTAGTTAAGTACAGAATGCCCTCAGAGGAGAGAGTGCTTAAGCAAAGACTGAAGGTACGCATTTTTCAGTCCAGTAGGAATTGCATGTAAGAGAAAGTTTGACTAAATGGAGAAGAGCAGAGTGTGAAGCTTAGCATTCAAAGCAGTAGATTTTGTGGGCCCCAGGGAGAAATTAAGGTTTTTACAGGAGTTCACTGATGTGATTAAATAGGGCTTTGGAAAGACAGCAGAAGGAATGTGGAAGGATGCCTTAGGGGAAATGTAAGTGGGGGGCAGGGGGTGGAATGCTGTCAGAAAGCTTACTGAAGAGGTAATTGTGTCAGTTTTGGTGAAATTTGTGGCGGTGGGTGAGAGAGGAAAGGGTAGATTCTAGAGTATTCTAGAAAATCAAGCCTATCAGGCTTGCAGAATGTGCAGATATGAGGAATGAGGAAAATGCTAAGAATAATGCTCATTTCTAGTTTGGGAGACATAAATGATGGTTTTGGTAGATGGTAATGCTCATAACTAGAAGAGAAAGCAAATAGGGAAAATAGGGTGAGTTCTGTTTGCACTGTATAGCATTTGAAATGCATCTAAAATATACCTAGATGGAGATATCTATGTGACAGTTGGAAATACAAGGCCACACTTTTGAAGGGAAGTAAAAAAGCATCACGATGAAAAAAAACTAGTGGATGTGATGGAATTCCAGTTGAGCTATTTCAAATCCTGAAAGATGATGCTGTGAAAGTGCTGCACTCAACATGCCAGCAAATTTGGAAAACTTAGCAGTGGCCACAGGACTGGAAAAATTCAGTTTTCATTCCAATCCCAAAGAAAGGCAATCCCAAAGAATGCTCAAGCTACCACACAATTGCACTCATCTCACACGCTAGTAAAGTAATGCTCAAAATTCTCCAAGCCAGCCTTCAGCAATACGTGAACCGAGAACTTCCAGATGTTCAAGCTGGTTTTAGAAAAGGCAGAGGAACCAGAGATCAAATTGCCAACATCCGCTGGATCATAGAAAAGGAAAGAGAATTCCAGAAAAACATCTACTTCTGCTTTATTGACTACGCAAAAACCTTCAACTGTGTGGATCACAATAAACTGTGGAAAATTCTGAAAGAAATGGGAATACCAGACCACCTGACCTGCCTCTTGAGAAACCTGTATGCAGGTCAGGAAGCAACAGTTAAAAGCGATATGGAACAACAGACTGGTTCCAAATAGGAAAAGGAGTATGTCAAGGCTGTATATTGTCACCCTGCTTATTTAACTTATATACAGAGTACATCATGTGAAATGGAAGAAAGGCTATGACCAGCCTGGATAGCATTGCAAAGCAGAGACATTACCTTGCCAACAAAGGTCCATGTAGTCAAGGCTATGGTTTTTCCAGTGATCATGTATGGATGTGAGAGTTGGACTATAAAGAAAGCTGAGTGCCAAAGAATTGATGCTTTTGAACTGTGGTGTTGAAGAAGACTCTTGAGAGTCCCTTGAACAGCAAGAAGATCCAGCCAGTCCATCCTAAAGGAAATCAGTCCTGAATATTCATTGGAAGGACTGATGCTGAAGCTGAAACTCCAATACTTTGGCAACCTGAGGCGAAGAACTGACTCACTGGGAAAGACCCTGATGCTGGGAAGGATTCAAGGCGGGAGGAGAAGGGGACCGACAGAGGGTGACATGGTTGGATGGCATCACCGACGTGATGGACATGAGTTTGAGTAGGCTCCAGGAGTTGGTTATGGACAGGGAAGCCTGGCTTCCTGCAGTCCGTGGGGTCACAGAGAGCTGGACATGACTGAGCAACTGAACTGAACTGAACAGTAATTGTGTTTCTCTCTTACTTATTTCACTAGCACAATACCTACCAAGTTCATCCATTTTGTTGAAAATGGCAAAATTTCATTCCTTTTTATGGCTGAGTAATCTTCCACTGTGTATATGTATGTATGTGTATATATATACACATACATACATATACATACACACACACACATATATATATCACTCACATCTTCTTTATCCATTCATCCATTGAGGGACACTTAGGTTGCTTCCATATCTTGGCAATTGTATATAATGCTGCTATGAACATTGTTGGGAAGCATGTATCTTTTTGAATTAGTGTTTTAAGAAAAAAAAAAATCTAAGAGTGGAATTGCTGGGTCATATGGTAGTTCTGGGATTCCCTGGTCGCTCAGTGGTAAAGAATCCACCTGCCAATGTGGGTTCAATCCCTGGGTTGGGAAGATCTCCTGGAGAAGGAAATGGCAACCGTCTCCAGTATTCTTGCCTGAGAAAACCCATGGACGGAGAAGCCTGGCAGTCTACAGTCCATGGGGTCATGAGTCAGATACAACTTAGCAACTAAACAACAACAACACATTTGTTCTATTTTTAATTTTTTGAGGAACTTCCATACTGTTTTCCACAGGCCCACACTAATTAGTTCCTTGTGGAGGAAATAAACATTTAAAGTACCTCAAGGGGAGATTTTCTGTTATAAATCCTAATGCCATTTTATCCTGTATGGGACTCTTTGTGCCTCTTGGACTTGAGTGACTATTTCCTTTTCCTTTTTGGGGAAATTTTCAACTATAATCTCTTCAAAAATTTTCATACCTTTTCTTTCTCTTTTCTTCTTCTGGGACCCCTATAATTCGAATGTTGGTGCATTTGATATTGTCCCACAGGTCTCAGACTACCCTCAGTTCTTTTCATTCTTTTTACTTCATTCTGCTCTTCAGAAATTATTTCCACAATTTTATCTTCCAGCTCACTGACTCATTCTTCTGCTTCAGATATTCTATTGATTCCTTCCAGAGTATTTTTAATTTCAGTAATTATATTGTTTGTCTCTGTATGTTTATTCTTTAATTCTTCTAGGTCTTTGTTAATTGATTCTTGCATTTTCTCCATTTTCAAGGTTTTTGATCATCTTCACTATCATTATTCGGAATTCTTTTTCAGGTAGTTTGCTTTTCATTTATTGGGACTTCTGTATTTCTAATTTGTTCCTTTATTTGTGTAGTATTTCTCTGCCTTTTCGTTATTTTTTTTAAACTTCTTGTGTTTGAGGTCTCCTTTTCCCAGGGTTCAAGGTTGAATTCTTTCATCCTTTTGGTTTCTGCCCGTCAACTGTTTCCAAATAGGAAAAGGAGTATGTCAAGGCTGTATATTGTCACCCTGCTTATTTAACTTATATGCAGAGTACATCATGAGAAACGCTGGGCTGGAAGAAACACAAGCTG